GCGTTGGGTCGTCTATAACTTAAGTAAATAGTAGTAAGAAAGAACGTGCGTCGTACGGCCGAACGGACGGGAGTGTACGGTACGACGACAGTGTGTGTGTGTGTGTGTGTGTGTGTGTGTGTGTGTGTATACACACACACACATTACTGAAATATGTCCTAAATACACACAGCTGACAACTGGAGAAATTCTACGTGACTTTGTAATGCTTATTGCCATCAAACATTTAGTACATCAACTCATTTTTTGGAAAACGTATCTTAATGATTGAAACACGAACGTAATAACAAGAAGCATTTATTAAATGTTTTGGAATCATAATAATTCCATCATCAGTAATCTAGAGGTATAAAACAAACAAACAGTATTTGCAATTACAACAGAAATATACACATAAGAAAGAAACATTTCAAATACACAAATATAACATGACAAAATGAAAACTGAGGCACAAATGAAATAGTTAAAATAGGTTTAAATCCAGTGAAGACTGCGTGTTATTTAGGGACGGGAGAAGAGTTTTTATGTATAATGTTTCTTTTATAAGGAGTTCAGTATTATGTTTGGCTGTTGAAAGAATTTTAAGGTTTGAGAGAGAAATTGGATGTCCTGTTTTGACAGATAGTGGAGTTTGTAACCTTTCTTCCAGTTTTTATAGATATGCCCATGTGTTCACATGCTCGTAATTTAAGGTGATGTTTGGTTTCACATGTGTATAAGTAGACGAGATGTGAACAATTGGCTGTTAGCAAACAATCCTTGTAGCTAAAAAAAAATGTTTTAGTCTGAAATTGGTTTCATAATAACTTTCAGGTAAATTTGGGGATAGTACGTGTTGCATAACTTTTTCAACTGTTTCGTGATAAGGGAGCTCAGTCTCCCAAGATATGGTAAGCAGGTGTATAAGGGAAGTTGGGTACAGTGGGTATCTTCGGTGGTTTGACAAACAAATTAGATAGGAATTAGAAAGTTATTTTCTCCAAGAAATGAACAGGGTAGATGTTTTGTATGGAAGTAATTTCTTTGTGAAGGGCTAAATAGAATGAGGTAAGTTTGTAGGCTCTATTTAGTAGACAGAGAATAAGACTGCATTTGAAAGAGAAGGATATAAAACTGTCAAACTGGGTGAAAAGGCCAGTAAATGTGTTTCTTTTTTGTTTTATAGTCCAATTTTTAAATAGTCCTATAGGTTTTGAGACAATTATTTCTTTATCGTCGTAGAAGTATGCTATTAATCTATTCATTTCTTGAAAGAGAAGGATATAAAACTGTCAAACTGGGTAAAAAGGCCAGTAAATGCATTTCTTTTTTGTTTTATAGTCCAATTTTTAAATAGTCCTATAGGTTTTGAGACAATTATTCTTTATTGTCGTAGAAGTATGCTACTAATCTATTCATTTCTTGGAAAACGTAGCTTAATCATAAAATGTTTAATAACTGCTTCCTGTTGTTACGTTCGTGTTTCGTATTATCATTACGCTATGTTTTCTGAAAAATGAGTCGATTACTAGTAATGTGATTGAAAGGAAGGATTCAGATGAACATTAAAAAATTAACTTCATAATTAAAGTTGCAGTGTAAATCTACTAATCTGCCTGTAGAATCCAATGGTGTGAATTTTTGTAATTTTCATTATTAAAAAAAAATAAAAATCACTGAAACCCCCTAATACAAGCACAGAGGGGAAAATCTTATTTCAGAAAAAAAAAGCTCTCCAATAAATATCTAAGCAGAAAAAAAATGGAGATTTACAGTAATTTGCACAATAAGCAACATGTCACTGATGCTAGATTGACAGCTACAGCTGTTGAAAGAGTATCAACAACAAACACTGAATATGGATCTTAAAACCATTCTTTGAAAGCAGGAAGAATATTCACTACAAATGGCATGAATACCAGATATAAATCTGGCAATTTGGAGTATCGTGTTTATGAGGCTTGGGCTCATTAATTTAGAATTGTTAGAAAGGTTCAGAAGGGCTACTAGGATGATATCTAGAATAGAAAGGTTGTTATACAAGGACAGGTTAAAATGTCCAAAATTGTCAATTGTTTTCCCTTGAGAAAAAAAAGATAATAAGGGATCTGATTAAGGAAGTTAAGGTTACTAAGGGAAAACAGTCTCTTTGCATCAGTTTTTCCTGTAACTAATGGTAAGAATGGTAGGACTAGGGGATATAAAATATAAATTTTGGTAGGGTAGGAGTCATCTTCAATTAAGACAGTTTCACTGTTCTAAAAGGGTGGTTGTACTTTGGAATGGATTGCCTTCAGATGTAGTGGATGTATTAAACTTAAGGGAATTTAAGAGAAGGCTTGGTAGATATTGAACAAATAACGGCTGGATTTGACTTTTTTTTACGTTTAGTTGAATGGATGAGACAGCCTAGATGGATTAACAGGTTTAGTTTAATGGATGGTACAACCTAGATGGATCAACAGGTTGCTTTTTGTGTTCTTAAATTTAAAGTTTTAAGATTGCATCTGTTGGAGTAGAAGGAGATGAGTTAAAGAGACAGATTTATTTGGGTAGTAGAAGGCAAAAGTTTCTTAATAATGGAGTTGGAATCATAGAAGATTAATGTTACAACTGGTGCACCCCAGGGTTCTGTGCCCATTCCTTTGCCATTTCTCATTTTCATTAATGGCTTATAATGGAATAACTAGTAAACTGATTAAGTTTTAAATTTATATTAAATCAATGGTCATTTTAAACTATACTAAAGATGCAGAAAGATTTGGCCTATTGATGAGCTGGGCTAATACATGTAAGGTATCATTTAATCCTAATAATAGTAAGGTTATGCATATTTGCTGTCATAACTTTAATTACTCTCATAGTCTTTCTGAAGGACTAGGTAAAGTCAATGAGGAAAGAAATCTGGAAATTGCCATTACAAAATCTTTACAATCATCTATATAATGTACACTAGCTATTAATGAAGACAACAGGAATTTAGGTTGTATATGTAAAGGTACCGAGTATCAGTTGACATGGAGGTCATCATTTCACCTTACAAAATGCTGGTTAGACCTAATTTTAAAAAATGCTATCAGTTTTGGTCATATTATTTAAGAAAAGAATATCTAATTGTTATTGTGTTCAGAGAAGAACTACCAGAATTCCAGGATTAGAGCAGGTTATCATTTCATGGAAGGTTTATAAAGGGCTCAGTGGAGTTTTTTTAGATTGTTAGAGAGGTTTAGAATCCATAAATTTCATTGAAATTTTGGTAAAAAAGTTTGTAGAGACTAAGACTAGAGGACAGATTTAAAATATTGAAAAATTTGGACACTATTCCAGTTCAAGCAGTCTTTTTGTTTTCTTTCAGCAGAATAGTTTGCATTCATGTGTAGAAGCTACTACATTCATGAAATTTAAATTTCAAATCAGACTGGATGATTGTTTTACAGATCAGGGCATTTGGATACAGGAAAACACACTTATGTATACAGAAAAGGAGCGGTAGCAGTGAATATGCTTAACTGTATGGGCCAAATGACCCCATGGAAATGAATACTGAAAATGAAGACAAAGTGTTCTACTTTCTAGAATGATACTTGTTTTAAAAGAATCTAAGCTATTGCAAAAGGCATAAAGATTTTAGCTAGTTTACTTTGAAGTTTACTAAACTGAAGGCATTTGGTTCAGAAGTTATTATTGCTGGAATTCAAAATATTTTTCTATTGTTGGACTGTTTGAGAAGTGAAAAGAAGTGGGTAAGATATTAATCTAAATGTTATGGTAAATAGGTTTAAAATGTTGAAAGCCTCAGTGCATATATTTTTTTGACAAAATTATTTTCCATCATGTTATATAAACTTGTGAAATGTACAATTACCTAAAATCTTTCAAAATTATGTTAAGTAGTATTTGAATGGGTATATTAATTTATTTTTTAATGTTTTTTTAGTTTTATGTCAAATAATATTAGTTTACCTTAAGCTTATTTCCTGAATATTTTGCAGGCTCCAAGCAGGAATGTATAGCAATAATTACGATACTAGGACGCCTTATTATGGTGTCATCAGATTATGTAACTAACAGTTATGAATATCTTAATATTAATTTTGCTACAAGTATTACATATTACTGTACTCAAGTTAAGTTGTTTAACTTCAATCCTAAGTTGTCACACTAAATTATTATTAAATAAATAAAATTGGAGATCTTAGTGAGAGGATGTGGTGATATACACTATACAGTTGGGCCAATACTACTCAGTGGTTATTTCGATCTTTAAAAACAAAAAAAAAAAAAAAACACGAGAAACTCGCGTTAAGGAAAATTGCACTTACCAGTTGGAATACCCAATTCTTTACTCCCTCTTCCAAATCCCTTTACAACTCGACCCATTGTAACAAATGGCAAAGCATTACGAAACACACAATTCATGGTTTACTTACTTAACTTTAAGTCAAGAACTATTTACGGAATACTAATTAATACGGTCTCTAGTCAGACTTCCTGTTGCCCAGATTCAATGTCCGTCCAATTCGTAGTACAGAAACAAATAAGAAAAACACAAAAACTTTCAAACTTAGTATTATGAAATCAAGCAAACATTAATAACATGCTGCACTGTTTAAGCAATAAGCATTAATTAACGTTAGTAACCATAATTATATACCACTTTTCCATACACTTTATCAGATTTCACTGAAATATTCATGGTAATTTTCACATTCATAAATACTGAAGTAGTACAGACACTAGAGCACTGCGAATGTGATGTATAAAAATAATTACAACAATTATGTTATTAATAAAATATTAATTAAACTAAACTTGTTGAATCTAAATTTAGCTGATATTACATTTCAACATGAAATTAAAAGAGTTACAGATTACAACATCACGAACAATGTTATGAAATTGAAATGTTCTGTGCCGAAGCGCCACTTAAATACTAATAAATTTTCTGCCCTTGGATCACACATGTACAATGTAGGTTGCATTCAGGTATTTCATTGGTTTATAATTACCTGCCATTTATCAATTAAGTTTATCTAACCAACAGGCACATTTGATTTATAAATTTACAACTGATAATGATATATAATTATTTGTAGTTTATGCACAACACTCCACATCATAATAAACAAATATATATATATTATTCGTGTATATTTGTAAATCATCATTTTATACATACAGTGATTTTAGTATTTTCAAATACAGAATTTAAAACATACAAGTTTAATACTAGAAGATCCTGAATCTATACATGCACTTATTTTAATCATACTGTTACGTCTTCGTCTGTTAATTAACTTTCCGTAACTTCGTTCCGACGAAACTTTAACGACACAAGTCTTTACTTAATAAAACTGATTTATTCTTTCCGAATATAACTCTGCGATACACTTAATCTCAACAATCGCGCTATATCAACGAACGTCAATAATACTTCTGACCGCAGATCAATTACACACTG